TGTGTGTGTGTGTGTGTGTGTGTGTGTGTGTGTGTGTGTGTGTGTGTTGCGTCCTGTCTTCAGGCTGTGAGAGCCTCCAGAAACTGGACCTGACAGTGAACTTCGTGGGCCTTCTGAGCAGCGTTGAGTCTCTGCAGCACAACGTCCACCTCACGGAGCTCTTCCTGGTGGGGAACCCCTGCGCTCAGTTCGAGGGCTACCGGCAGTACGTGGTGGCTGCTCTGCCTCAGCTCATGGTAAGTTTAACTAAACCACCTGAGTTTAGACTGGAAGAATCCACGAAGACAAAGTGCTTGAGATTCACAAGGTAGAGACAGAACAGGCTGCTGGACGTTCATCTACAGATACAGTTGTTTAAAAGTGTTGAAGATGATGAGGAAGAGGAGAAAAGGATAATTGGTTTTATTACAACCTGGATCACATTTTATGTTTTTTGTCTCTGTCCTCAGTGGCTGGACGGGACGGTGATCAGCCGGTCGGAGAGGATTCGAGCCTCTCAGGGCCTTGAGGAGGCGAGGAGGCGAGTGTGGGAGCAGGAGGAGGAGTACTTGAAGAGGAGAGGCACGGAGAAAGAGGAGGCGCTGAGGGAGAAAGGAGACGAGGAGAGGAAGCCAGGCTTCGACGGCCGCTGGTACACTGACATCAACACGGCCGCGTGAGTACAAGCGTCACTAAAGAGAGACGCTATCCTGTTGCATTCTGGGAAATGTAGGATGTAGGTTTTTTGGGGGGGGTCATGACCCGTACTACTTAAAGTCTCAGGGTGCGTTCCACACTACCATACTATTTATTTAGTACGTTTTAATACATAGTATAGTAAGTACCAGGATGTTCTACTGCATCAGCTCTTCTGACCCACAATCCTTTGCACAGCAGAAGTCACAGACAGATGGCAGCCTACTGATGGCTCACATACATCATTACAAGTACAAGTAATATGTTTGAGTTATGGAAAGTGAAAACATTTTTGCAACAAAAAAACCCCAAAAAAGTAAAAGAACTATTGATGATAAAGAAAAGTTATTGTCTCTGTCGGTGGAAACCTCTCACGTTGTCACTCACATCCAGTTTGGCCGTTATTACACTTTGAGATCAGTTGAAAAGAGAAAGTTATATAGAAATAAATCCTAAAAGATAACCCCCCCCCCAAAAAAAAAAAAACTACCAAGAGGACAGACAGAGGGAGGAAAGAGGAAAGTGTTGTTGAGGTAAAGTCAGGTCTCTAAAACTCAGTTAAATCAAAGATTGTTGGCATTGAACTAAAATAACTACTTTTCTTTGGTGAGTCTTTAAGTGAAAAGTAAAAACATCAGGAAAAGTCTCAGAAATGGAAATATTGGTGTAATTTTAGTATTTTTATTTGAACGTATTCAGCTGCCCAATAAGGAGTTAAAATAAACCACACTGACCTGATAAAGATGAGAGTTAAATCGTTACTGATGGATCTCTGTCTCTGCAGCCCAGCGTTGGCGGAGAACCAGGAGAACCGGGAGGTGGAGGAGAACCTGGACGAGGAGCGGCGGGAGCAGGAGTTCTGGCACACGCCGTGTTCGTTCACGCCCGAGTCTCGTCTGGAGGCTCACCGCCACCTGGAGGAGAAGAAGAAGACGAAGGAGAAGTAAGTGTTTTTAAACTCAGTTTGGTCTCATTAGAGCTCCTCAGAGTTCATCCTCTCACCGTAGCTCCGAAATCACATTAAAATACTGCGTGTGGAGAGAAAAGTCTTTAATATTTATATATAAAACTCTACTTCCTGAAACAGAAATGCCTCAGCTACAACCAATGAGACACACAAACTGTTTCTCAATCTATCAGAGACTGAAGTGGAGTGCTGTAGTTCCCTATGTTGGCCACTTGGTGTCGCTACAACACCAGCCAATCGTCCCCCTGAGGCGGCCCCCCACACTGACTCAGGATCAGTTTCAACAGAGCCAAAGGGCCACCACAACCCCAGCGCTCACGCTCCAAAACAAATGTGAGGAACAATCTACCCTCATAATACAAACTTCTAATAAGATAATGTGACACGTTTAAAGCTAATCTGACTGACTCAGCACTTCCATGGAGGTTAAGTACAGTGAGTCTTCCTGACTGGATACCTGTGAACACTAATGTTTGAATTTAGAGTAAAGACATTTTGGACGGACATGACTGTGAACTTTAACTTGAGTGGAGGCTGTGATTCTAGTTTTATTTGTAGAAACCAGAAGCCTGTATATAAGAAGAGGACGACGTCTCTCATCGGTTTATGGACTGATGTTTTGAGGTAATTTGCCATCTTGGTTTTTTTGCAACCAGTGAACAGGAAGTGACCATATCTGGACTGAGGAGTGACGTAGAGACACCGTATACGTCTCTGATAGAGACCTGTCAATCACCGTGTAGCCCCGCCCTAAAGCGTCCCCTGCTTTATGGTCTGTTTGACTCTAAATGGACCATAATGTACT